TGATAAGAATTAAGTGAGAAATATTTATTTATTTATGAGGGAGGACTTGACTCAGAATCTGACTCTGAGGCCTACGTACCCTGTAATGGGGATCAAAGTCCATGTAGTTCGGGACTTATAAGTTATTGTGAAAATATTTTTGAAGAGAAATTAATTAGAAGTAATTTACCATTTTGCAAATAAAACAATTTCTAAAATTTTGATATGGTGTATTAAATTACAAAAAGTATTTTAATTTCAATCATTTCTTAATTTTTGAATTTTTTTGAATAAAGAAAAGAGTTTTAAAATTATTTTTCATGTTTTATTATTTCTTTAGAAAATTTAACTGCTATACCTATAGAGCCTTATTAGCTCATGCGATAATACCAGTTATTCTGAATATTTACGGAAATTCCAAAATCTCTCACGATAAAAGAGTGAAATAATGTAAATATTTTAAGTACATTTTTAATGTGTAATTATACAATTTACATTTTTAAACATAAAAAAATCTTAATAACTATACCTGCGAAGTCTTATTGACTTTCATGGTAAGATGATTATTCTAGAGGTCTATAGACGTTCACAAATCTCATATGACCAAAAGATCTAATTAGATAATATGATTATAATTTAATTTATTTAATTATTATAATATATAAAAAGGTTTATTATTATTATTTTTACAAAATTCATATAATTTTATGAATTGTGATATCTACCGAGGAGTTATATCCCACACGATAAGACAATTAATTTAATTCTCTACAAAGATTCTTGAATTTTTCTCATGAGACTTAAATATTTTATTGATTATAAAGAGAATTAATTTTGATGATGAGTCTTTGGAACCCATATTATTATACAAAATTGATCCTCAAATATAAAAAGTATAATTTACATAATAGAGGATCAGTTTATGGGATTTAAATTTCTCTTACGATATGAGTTATTTCCAAAACCACATTTGTTATGTAATCAAGATTTTAGCTTAACAAAATCTAATTTGTAAAATATGTCTAAGTTTTAATTATAAGCGCGCCAAAATCAAATCTATAGTAATATCCTATAACCTTCAACTATAGTAATCTTATAAACAAGTATGCATACATTGAGGCTAGAAAATGAATATAATGTAAGGCTACGTAAAGTTATGAAAACCCTGTGCTGAATGAAGTCGGTGGATCTTTCCTGCAAGTCCTTAAGCGCCTTCAAGATGTGCTTTGAAGCCATGTTACTTCCTCCAATTGATGGACCCGAATCAGAACCTGTACATTGCTAGCATATGAACCCACGCAACTGAGGGAAAAAGAAGAAGATGATCTCATTCAGTACCCACATGCATATGCATGTCCTGTTTTCTGCATTGTCTTCTTTTTTTGTTCTGTGCTTGACTCCTTCACTCCTTTTCATCGAGAACCTGTGCTCTATTTTCATCCCAACGCGTGTGAGTGTGGCATGCATGCATTTTTTTTTCTTCTCGCTCTCTCGTTCACAGTTTCCAGTCTCTGTTTTTTCCTTTGCATTCTCCTCCAGCTTCTGGTCTCTCCTCTCTCATTTTTTTCTTTTTTCGTGCTCTCTCTCATTCAGCTTCTGTTCTCTGTGCTCTCTCAATCCTCCCTCTCTGTCCTCTCTCGAACTTCTGCTCCCTCTGTGCTCTCTTATTTGCTCGGTCTCTGTTTTTTTTTTTCTCGAACTCTCTCCTTTTTTTCTTCTTCCTCCTCCTTCACAGTCCTCTTTTTCTTTCAGAAAATAAAACTCATCTTTCTCGGTCTCTGGCTCTCTCTTTTTTCAGTCCTCTCCTCCCTCTTTCTTCGGTGCTCTATTTTTTCTTTGTTGTACTCTGTTTTGCTTCAGTTTCTCCTCTCTCGATCTCTCTCTTTGTCTCTCTTTCAAGTCTTCTCTTTCTCTGTTTTGACGTCCCTGGTTTTTCTTCTTCGTTCTTCGTGCTCTCCTCTCCTTCCTGTCTTCTCTTTTCGATCTTTTCTTCCCTCTCTTTTCTCTGCTCTTCCTCTTCTGTTCTCTTTTTGTGTGTCTGGCTCTCCCCATCTTCTCAATCTTATTTCGTCTGTTTTAAAACAGAAGCAGGGAGAGTTGCGTGTGAAGAGTTTACGTGCTGTGCGTGTGTTTCGTGTGTTCACTGTGCACGCTTTGTCTCGCGTGCGTATATTCTGCTCTGTGAAGCTTCCTTTTGTGCATGTGTGTGCATGATCTGCTCTGTGTTTCCTTTGCTCGTCTGGTGTTTCTGGAACAAAGGACCAAAATAGATAGTTAAATGCTAGAACCAGCGTTTAACCTTGGTTACCACACAACACATATATATACATATTTAACTACAATTTTTTAGTTGTTTATTTATTTTTTTAAAAAAATCATTAAAGGATTGAATTTTCATTTTTTTATATTTATTATATTTTTAGTTGTTGTAATGAGCTAAAGAAATAAAATCCTAATCAGCAGATTATAATATTAAACCCTATTAATTAAAGTTTTTTTATTTTGAAAATATAATCCTAAAAAGGATTTAAATTTTTATTTTGTATTTTTTATTTTTTTTGGTTATTTATATTAAATTTTAAAAAATGCCCAGACAAAATACGGTGTTCACACACACCCCATTATCTTCAATATTTTAGGGAATAGCTCAAGAAGTGTTGATAGAGCAAACAACCCGAGGCTTAGGATCACGATCCTTTTGTAGTAGGCCTCTTTATTTTAGGTAATTTATGTGTATGACAATTTCAATTGCTACCTAGGATGTCCCTTTTTGTTACTTACTTGCATAAGAGAAAAGTAAATTTGTAATGGTATTTTGGGTCCTAGGGAGAGAGTTGATTATTATGTGTTATGTTGATAGGGCCAAAATACTAATGCAAGTGAGGGTAGTGTATATTATGTGATGATTTAGGAAATCTTGATGAAAATTATGATAAACTCCCCCTTCCTATGATTCTGAGTTAAGGGATTGATTGGCAGAGATTTGATCTAGAAATGTTTCTTGTGTTTTGGTGCTTTGCACGAGTTAGTTTTGTTGAGTTATATGTAGTCATTTGGTGTTGGTAGACATTGGTCCTTAATTTTAGGTTAGGACACTTGACATTTATGAAAGTAGAGGTAAAGGATTAAGTTTTGAAAAGGTGTCCAATTCTTGTTTTAAAAATAATTTGAGCCTGAGACCAACACCATTAGTTAGAGCTTGGAAAGGACTTTCTGTAGACTCCTAGTTCACGTCATTCAAACATCAGACTAAGATTTAGGACGCATCAAAAGTTGGCCTTAAAACTATCAAATTGATAGCAGAACTCACTGTCAAAGTTTGTGCATTTAAGCCGTGGTGCCTGGCATCACAAGCCATGGTGTGTGTCATAGTGGCGAACACACCGCAACACACGCCTTTTAATTTTTCAAAAATTTTTCTTGTTCCAAATTGTTGCACCTATGTAACCATTTATATGATAATCCCTTGCTTCCGTGTATTTGCAAACTTTGTTTTGCCTCTTTGCAATACTTGATTTGACTTTAAATTTATAATCTTGGGGTCCCTATTTTGTTAACCCATGAGAATTTTGTATTTAATGATTACTATCATCTCATTTTCCTAATACTTGAGATTTGGGTTTTAATTATGGGCTAAAAAGGGAGGATATTACAACTTGATATCAGAGCTAGGTTATGAGTACTAGTCTATGAATTATGTTACGTAATCATGCCTATTTGTGCATTTGCATATAGAGTTGGCAATTGTCATTATACACATGTTGTTTCCTCTCTTGAACTAGTACTGATCATTTTCTTTTTTGGGATGACTTCCATCCTTAGGGAGGGACATTGGTGCAAACAAGACACACAGCCAAAAATGTTTCAATAAACCTATCAAGACAAGAGCAAGAAGTCTCGATAGAGGTAGAGAATGAAGTAGTCCCAATTAAAGAAGAACAAGTAGAAATAGGAAGAAACCAAGAACAACCCGTACACTCCATGGGTGGGGATAATGTGTTGCTTGAGTTAAGAGCAATGATAGAGAGAATTAAGAAGAGATTGGATGATCATAATAAGATTCTTGAGAAGAAACCTGAAGAAGGTGTAGTGGTACGATTGACAAAACAGGAGGTAACCCTGAGAAAAAGAAAAGAGTTGGGATGCTGGAAGAGGTACAAGGGCGTAAAAATGAGGAGTACTATGAGGAGAGTGCATTGAAGAGGCCAATATGTTTTATGAGGCCGACTGAGAAGGAACATGAGGGTTCCATTGACTATGCACTCAAGAGATTCACGAGGTTGAATCCTCCTCACTTTAGTAGTTGTATGGAGGATAGAGCCGGTGAGAAGTGGATAAATCAGTTGGATACCATATTTTTCATGATGACCTATACTATAGAGTAGCAGGTACTCTTTGCTACTTTGATGCTAGAGGATACCGCCAAATGATAGTGAGAAATTACAAGGCCAGCTGATGGATCCTTACTTATATGGAAGGAATTCAAGAGGAGATTTTCACTCATTATTTCCCATCTACCTTTCGAGCAAAGAAGGAATTTGAGTTTCATCACTTATAGTAGGTAATATGAATGAGGAGGAGTTCATAGCTAAGTTCAATGAATTGTCAAAGTATTCGATCTATCTGAGACATCATGATGATAAGGAGTGGAAGGCCGAGCAGTTCTTAAACAAGATACGACTTGAGTATAGTAGGCAATTGTTAGCCTTTGAGATCACTTCCTTTGAAGTGATGTGCAATAAGTTTCAAGCGCTAAAAGAAGCAAATCAGTATATGATAAGAAAAGACATGGTTAGGGTTATTTTTCTTCATTCATGGGTCCTACTGGTGGTGTAAGCAAGAAGACCAATTTTGGTTCGAGATCATCCTGAGGGTTTAATGTTAGGGGTGCTAGGAATCATTTTCAAAAGGGGTCTCAATCCAAGGGATCCTAGTCCAAGAACAATACACCCAAAGGTATGGGAGGTCAAAACCAGACTTGAAGACAGGACTTTACCCCTGCTATTACTGGACCTATGAGAGCTCTACAATGCAACAAGTATAGGAAGTATCTTAAGGGGGAGTATTGGACATGCTTTAAATGTAATAAGGTGGGCCACATAGCGATACTGCCCTGAGTATGCTAGTGTACATGACTAAAGGTCTGCTATTCTTGGTCGTGTCTTTGCCTTGTCCAAGGAAGAAGCTAAAGCTTCTTCGAAGCTTATTAGAGGTACTATTTTTCTTGGTGATACTAAGATCCCTGCTTTATTTGATTCGGGTGCTACTTACTCTTTTATTTCAAATGAGTGTGTAGAAAAGTTAAAGTTGCTTGTGATTGAATTGCCTGTGTTGATGAATGTTTCTACATTGGCTGGAGCTTCTGTGAAAACCATCCGTGCATATTTGAAAGTTAAAATGAGATTTGGTTATAGTATTACACTAATTGATTTGGTTTATTTGCCCATGTTAGGGATTGATGTGATTGTTGGGATAGATTGGTTATCAGCTAACGTAGCGATACTAAACTGTGAAAGAAAATAGTTTCTCTATCAGTGTGTAATGTGACTCTTGCAGTCTCTGAGGATACTACCCCCCATAGTGAATCTTGAGATACCCATGTTTTTATCTGCCATGCAAATTAAGAGGTCAGACTATGAAGGGTGTCAGATGTTTTTAGTATTCTTTTCAGCCTTTGGAGAGTACGATGGCACTCTTGACGAGATTGGAGTTGTAAGTGAATTTCTAAAAGTATTTGCCGATGAGATGTCTAGCTTACCACTGGTAAGGGAGATTGAATTCTTTATTAACCTAGTGCCAAGAACTGAACCCATCTCTAGGGCTCCATACTGGATGGCTCCATCGAAACTAGAAGAATTGAAGAAACAATTGGAGGAACTGCTAGAGAAAGGATTCATTAGGCTAAGTGTATCCCCTTAGGGTTCGCCTATGCTGTTTGTGAAGAAAAAGGATGGAAGCTTAAGATTGTTTATTAATTACTGATAGTTGAATAAGGTAACAATCAAGAATAAATATCCACTGCCTCAGATAGATGATTTGCTTAACTAGCTTATCGGAGCAACCATGTTTTCCAAGATCGACTTAAGATCTGGTTACCATCAACTAAGGGTGAAATCTCAGGACGTACCCAAAACTGCTTTAGGACGAGATATGGGCATTATGAATTCTTAATAATGCCTTTTGGATTGATGAATATGCCAGCAAACTTTATGGATTATAGGAATAGGATTTTTAGACCCTACTTGGATAAATTCAAAGTTGTGTTCATTGATGATATCCTGATCTACTCTAAGGATGAAGAAGAACATACTAAGCATTTGAGAATTGTGTTGCAGGTGTTGAAAGAGCACAAACTATATGCAAAATTAAGCAAGTGTGAATTTTAGCTTCAGGAAGTGAAATTTCTCAGTCATGTGATATCCGCTAATAGTATATCTGTGGATCCTTAAAGGTCAATGCAGCATTGAAATAGGAGAGACCTACCTCGGTAATAGAGATAAGAAGTTTCTTGGGGTTAGCTGATTACTATCGAAGATTCATTCAAGGGTTTTCACAAATAGCCTCTGTTTTGACTAAGTTGACAAAGAAAGATTAGCCATTTGTATGGACTGAGAAGTATGAAGTAGCATTTCAAACGATGAAGGATAAGTTAACTACAACACCAGTGTTAATAATTTCGGATCCAAAGTGGTCTTACATAGTATACATCAATGCTTCACTTAAGGGTTTAGGATATCTACCAATGCAAGACAATCAGGTTATAGCCTATGCGTCTAGACAATTAAGGCTACAAGAGGAAAATTACCCTACTCATGATCTTGAGTTAGCAGCTGTTGTTTTTGCTCTAAAGATTTAGAGACATTATCTTTATAGCTCATAGTTTGAAGTGTTTAGTGACTATAAGAGTTTTAAATATCTGATTGACTAGAAGAGAGTTGAACATAAGACAACAGAGAGGGATGAAATTTTTGAAAGATTACAATTTTGGGTTGAAATACCAGCCAGGTAAGGCCAATGTAGTCACTAATACATTGAGTATGAAGACAGTATATATGGCTTGTATGATGATACATGAATAGAAATTACTAGAGGATTTCTCTAGTATATGTCAGAATGTGCCTATTTTTTTATGTGCTTAAATTGAATACCATGGTCATTACTAATGAGTTTTGGAAGGAATTGCGAGAAGCACAATTGGAAGACCTATACCTACTAAAAATCTGGAAGAATATTAAAGAGAAATGGACTTCAGAGTTCAATTTCAATGATTATGGTTTCGTGGTATATCATGATCGTGTTTGTGTTCTTGACATTAGGGAGATGAAAGACACTGTATGTAACACTTGCCTTGAGTGTTATCCAAAAATCACATAATTCAAACAAACTAAGTGTGGTTAAGGAGTTGATCCTCTAACCAACTTAAGAAATAAATCATTTAAAACCTTAAAAATAATTATAGGTTCTACCTATAGCGCACGGAAGCAAGTTAGACGAAAATGGAATAAAAAGATGCTGTCATGACAGTAATTTATTGCTGTCATGACAGCCCTCCTGGGCCAACTTTCAGGAGGCGGTGTTCCGTCATTCGACCTCCGATTGAAGTGATTTTAAAGCTCACACGTCACATTCAAAGGGTACTATAAGTGTACCAAATTTCAAAAAGATCCAACGGTCGGATTAAAAATTAGACATGTTAAAAGATTGACTATTTTTGCTGTCATGACAGCTAAAAAGCTGTCATGACAGCACTTCCGGACCAACTTCCGGAGTGCACCATTTCATCATCTGACCTCCGATCGGAGTGATTCCAAAGCCCACATGTCACTTTTAAAGAATACTATTAGCATACTAAATTTTGAAAAGATCCAACGGACGGATTGAATTTTGTGCAGGTTACAAAATCAACACTGTAGCTGTCATGACAGCAATTTAATGCTGTCATGACAGCACCTCCAGACCAAATTCCGGAGTGCGTCGTTTCTCCGTCCGATATCCGATCGACGTGATTCCAAAGCCCACACGAAGCTTATAAAAGGTTTTACTTGTGACCCAAATTTAGAGAAATCCAACGGTCGGATTAAGATTTGGACACCCGGATGCAAAAGTGCAGCTTTTTGGTAAAAACCATTTTCAAAATTGTCCAAATCCCATCCTAATGGTCACAAACCTGTGGAAACACTTTGGACACGTCAAATAAGATTAAAAACACTTGATAGAACATTCAAATAATGGAAAACCCCCATACATCAAAATTTGACCACCCGGGTGCCATTTCCCAAAATGGACCCTAAACCCCCAAAATACACAAATCATACAAGAGTGGTCACAAATCAATCCAAATACCATGTATTTATATAAATACATATGCTAAACATTTTCACTTGGCTCAGAGCTCCTTGTGGGGCCCACGCACCCCCTCTCTCTATCCAAGGTGTATGTTTGCCCATAGCACACCATTTGCAATGCAACCACTTTGCATTTGCTTATAAAATCACATATATAACAAAACAAAGATCTGCTTGTAATAGAAACTTGGTCTACTAAGTAAATCCATCAAAACCACACACCATAACCAAGTTTCCTAGCCACAAGTCTGCAAATAGACAAAAATTCATACACAAGCACACAATCCACACATATTCACACACACACACATAATCATATCCTACTGGCACCCTAATCTTAAATACATTACAATATATTTGCTCAAAAGAAAGGGGTTGCAGTTCTTTACAAATCACAAGCAAACCCCTAGCTTTGCTCTTTTCCCCGTCCACCACTGGATCCTTCGCCTGGACCTAGAATATTGAAAAGAAAGGGGTGAGACAACCACAGTCTCAGTAACAGTGAAATCTATATTGATTATTACAAAGTAAGCCATAATTAAATAAATGAATAATAAATTCAACATAGTATATAATTTAGCCATTTAAAATGCATGAATGCATGACCTAGGCCGGTATGGCCTTTCATGACCAACAGAATGCCCCCTGGCACTCTTTAACTCGCAGGTAAACCTTATACCTACTTGTACCTCCACAGGCACAAAACATAATCTAAGGCATGATCTAATCCACCGAACCGCCTATGCCCTTCGACGTGAATCCTGAGCAGTCAAAGCTAACTCCCTCCCAGAGCCAGCCCGACTTACTCTCCATGTGAGGGCTACCTTGGCCTAGGCACTCAACCTCACACTTCATATGTCGGATTCCCTCCCCCACTGAGAGGTGTCGAACACTCAATACACTAACCACTTTAGTGCACTGAGCCCACAATACGTAAGACAACACTGAGTACTGACAGTGTGCCATAGAATATCAAAAATCCACACCTTCTCATTGGTGAACTCCCACCGAGATCATGCCTTTTACTCTTGTCTACCTTTCTGAGTATTGACCATTCAACACTCTAAAGTAGTATAATATTTATAAATCTCATTTCCAAAAAAAATTGTTATTAAACAATTAGAAAACATATTTGCACTATAATCAAAGTAGTACCCCATAACCCCTTATAAAGCACATTTAATCTTTTAAAAATGTAATGCATGATAACTAGTAATATTTATTCAAAAATAGCTAAAACAAAGTAATAAGAAATATAAATTCCCCTGTTACCTCAACCCTTTGGTACTAAAAGAGTTCCCCTTGTACAAAATAGGGCTCGGCTTGTTCCTTACTTCTCAATAAGTTCCACCAACAATTTTCTATCGTGTAGCCGAGCTCGCAACGGTCGCAAAGACTCCTAGATCCAAGCCTAACTCCCTCCCTTTCTCTTCTCTTCTTCCTCTCTCTCTCTCTCTCCCCGTTTGTGCGTTTGCTTCCTTTCTCATTTTCTCTGCGTTTCTGCATCAGTTTGCTCCTTAAAATGCTGGTCAAAAACTTGGGGAAAATTACAAGAAAGGGCCCAACATTTTTTTATTATTGCACAAAAGCCCGGGTCAACTTTGGTAATTTTTCCCATAGTTAAAAATCAAATAAAACCAAACTTTTGCTTAGTAAAATTCGAACTCTGGGCCTCTATTAAATTATTCTAAATTTTAATTTAATTATAGATATTTTATTTTATTTTTGTTTATTTTTTTTTAAATAAATTTGAGTCTTAAAATTTTTAGGATGTTACATTCTCCCCTCCTTTAAAAAGGATTTTGTCCCCAAAATCCAAGCTAATACATGAACCAAAGAGATAAACATACCTAGGGAAACAACTGTGGATATTCCTTCCTCATTTGATCCTCAGTCTCCCAGGTTGCATCTCCCGGAGCTGCCCCTTTCCAAATCACTTTTACCAACCGGATTGTTTTATTTCTGAGTTGCTTATCCTTAGCATCCACAATACGATCTGGTTCAGTCCGGTAGGTTAAATTCTCTTGAATTTCAACCTCCTCAGGTTCTATCACATGCGACGGGTCTGGCTGGTACTTCTTCAATTGTGACACATGAAACACGTTGTGTAGACCCGCTAACTGAGGCGGTAATGCCAACTGATAAGCCACCGGCCCTACTTTCTTCAAAACCTCAAAAGGACCCATATATCGAGGAGATAACTTTTTAGCCCGAATTGAGCGTCCAACGCCTGTCAATGGGGAAACTTTGAGGAAGACATGATCCCCAATCTCAAAAGACAAGTCCTTACGACGATTATCTGCATAACTTTTCTGTCTACTCTGTGCTGTAAGAAGTTTTTGTTGGATCAATTTGATTTTCTCTGTGGTCTCATCTACCACATCCGGTCCCATCATTGTCCTCTCACTCAACTCATACCAACAAAGAGGCGATCTGCATCGTCTTCCATACAATGCTTCATAAGGAGCCATTTGAATACTGGCATGATAACTGTTATTATAAGCAAACTCTGCCAGAGGTAAATGCTTATCCCAGCTTCCCTGAAGCTCTAGGGCACATGACCTCAACATATCCTCTAATGTCTGGATCGTCCGCTCAGTTTGTCCATCCGTTTGTGGATGATAAGACGTACTAAATTTCAGATCTGTACCCATAGCCCTTTGCATAGCTTGCCATAAATTCGATGTAAACCGAGGATCACGGTCTGAAACAATATCCCTCGGTACCCCATGTAGTCGCACAATCTCCTTAATGTAGATCTCAGCATACCTATCAACCGTATAGGTGGTCTTGACCGGTAAGAAATGTGCTGACTTAGTCAAACGATCTACAATTACCCAGATAGAGTCAAAACTAGCCTGGGTCCTCGGCAAACCAGATACAAAATCCATTGAAATACTCTCCCATTTCCATTTAGGAATCTCCAAAGGCTGTAATAACCCCGATGGCTTTTGGTGCTCTATTTTGACCTTCTGACAGGTCAAACACTTACTAACATACTCTGTGACATCCTTTTTCATGCCTGGCCACCACCAATGACGCTGCATGTCATGATACATCTTAGTAGCACCGGGATGAAGGGTGTAGCTACTTCGATGTGCCTCATCCAACAATTTCTTCCGAATAGACTCATTGTTAGGAATACACACCCTATCCTTGAAAACCACATACCCATCATCACTAAACCAATAGTCCATTATCTCACCATTCTCGATGTCTTGACTTATTTTTGACAAAATCGGATCTTGAAGCTGAGCATCTCGTATCTCTTTCCAAAATTCATTAGAAATAACCATAGTATTAAGACCATTCAAAGAGAACTTAGTCATACCCAAAAAAATTTCAACCAAAGATTCCATCAATCTATGCTCCCGAACCATTAAATAGGCTACATGTAAGGTCTTGCGACTAAGAGCATCTGCTACCACATTTGCTTTCCCCGGATGATACTTAAATTCAAAATTATAATCTTTAAGAAACTCCATCCAACGTCTCTGTCTCATATTCAGCTCTTTTTGATCTACCAGGTACTTGAGACTTTTATGGTCGCTCATGACCCTGAACTCTGTTCCATAAAGATAATGACGCCAGATCTTTAACGCAAAGACCACCGCAGCCAACTCGAGATCATGTGTTGGATAATTCTCCTCATGCGGTCTAAGTTGTCTAGATGCATATGCCACTGCTCTCTCATCTTGCATTAGAACACAACCAAGACCCTTATGAGAGGCATCAGTATACACATCATAGGGCTTTTGAGGATCCGAAATCACCAATACTGGAGCTGTTGTTAACCTTTCTTTCAACTCAAGAAAAGCTGTCTCGCACTTATCATCCCAGATAAATGGCCTATCCTTCCTTGTGAGTCTAGTCAAAGGCATAGAAATCTGAGAGAAACCTTTGATAAAACGCCGGTAGTAACCTGCTAATCCCAGAAAACTACGGATCTCAGTTATCGATTTTGGTCTCTCCCATTGCATGACTGCTTCAACTTTATATGGATCAACTGCAATACCATTTGCCGACACGATATGTCCCAAGAACCTAACCTCTCTCATCCAAAACTCGCACTTACTGAGCTTGGCATATAGCTTATGATCTCGCAGAAACCTTAGGACAGTCCTCAAGTGTCTGGCATGCTGCTCCTCATCTTTAGAGTAGATCAGTATATCGTCAATAAAAACTACCACAAACTGATCCAAGAAAGGTCGAAAAATGCGGTTCATATAGTCCATGAAAACCGCAGGCGCATTAGTCAGCCCGAATGGCATAACCAAAAACTCATAATGACCATATCGAGTCCTGAAAGCAGTCTTTGCCACATCCTTCTCACTAACTCTTAGCTGATGGTACCCTGAACGTAAATCAATTTTAGAGAAAATCGTGGCACCAACCAACTGATCTAAGAGATCATCGATGCGAGGCAGTGGGTACTTGTTCTTCACCGTAACCTTATTCAACTGCCTGTAATCGATACACAATCTTAAACTACCATCCTTCTTCTTCACAAATAAGACAGGAGATCCCCAAGGAGAAACACTAGGTCTAATAAATCCCTTATCTAACAGCTCCTCAAGTTGCTTCTTCAACTCAGCTAACTCTGAAGGAGCCATTCTATAGGGAGCCTTTGAAATTGGCTGAGTCCCCGGTACCAAGTCAATTGAGAATTCAACCTCACGTTCTGGAGGTAATCCTGATACATCCTCAGAAAACACCTCTGGGAACTCCCTAACAACCTCAATTTCATCCACTATACCTGTCTCAGACCCTTGGGTAGCGAGCACTACCACGTAAGCCTCACATCCTTGCTCAATCAATCTTTCAACTTGTAAAGAAGAAAGAAAACAAGAATGACCAGGGTATTCTTTGATCACCTCCGGTACTTCTACCAAAGTCACTGTCTTAGTCACACAATCTAAGACAGCACCATAAGCTGTCAACCAATCCATACCAATAATTAAATCAATCCCTTGCATAGGTAATTTGATCATATTCACCCAAGTCGATCGCCCATTAAAAGTCATCTTAGTCCTACACACCACACTGGATCGACCAACTAAACCAGAAGTAGAGGAAACTTCTATATCATGGGGCAACTGGTCAACAGGCATAGCCATTCTATCTAAGCGCTCGGCAGAAATAAAAGAATGCGTCGCACCACAATCAAACAAAGCTTCTAAATCGAGGCCACAGATAGAAACCATACCAGTGATTAGATTCGATGACTTCCTAGCCTCCTCCTGAGATACTGTATACACTCTACCAGGAATCACGTTCCTCCGGTCCGAGCTCTCATGTAAATCAGGGCAGTCACGGATCAAATGGCCTAACTTTCCACACTTGTAACAAGCAAAGCAGCGACCAAAATGAACCCTACCACATCTATTGCAAGGTGACCTCGCTGTGCTTAGAATTGGGGCTTGACTGGTCTGTGAAGAACGTGCTGGAGCGTTCCCAGAGAAACGAGAACCCCCAGATCTCATATTACCACCCCGATTACCTTGAAATCTTGAACCCCTATTTAAATTTCGATTACCAGAAGCAGAAGAAGACCCGATTCTAAAGGAACCACTAGAAGAAGAACCAGAGCTAAAACCCATTCTCTTGGATACACCACCAGTAGGAGCTAACCCAAAAGAAAATCGACCTCGTGTATCCCTACTCCGGCTACTCTCTGTGTCTCGACCTCGACGAGCGGCAATCCTCAGACGATTGCACATCTCATCATATGTCGCCTCGCCCAACAAAGATAGCTGCTGGCGGTATTCTGGCCTCATCTTTTCTAATAACCTCTTTGCTTTCCACTTGCTATCATTAGAAGCCTTCAGATATGTTGAGAACTTAGACAGCTGATTGAATTTTCTTATAAAAGTCTCCTCGTCTAAGTCCCCCTGCTGAAATGCATGAAACTCTGCCTCTTTCTCATCTCTGAAAGCTGGCGGAAAGTGAAAATCATAAAATCTTTCTTTAAATTCATCCCAAGACATAGATCTTCCATCTGTGGGCTTAACAGAATCCCACCAATGCTTGGCTTCACCAACAAGCTGCATCGTAGCCAAGATAACCTTCTGCTCAGATGTACACCTCACAACAGTAAATAACTGCTCCATCCGATCCAACCACTCTTCAGCTTTCCCATCAAGCATACTACCATCATATGTAGTCGGATTAGAGCGAGAGAATTCCTTCCAAGGTTCAGATATGTCATTCTCTCGATTATTAACAACTGGTGCATGAGCTCCCATAGTACTAGAAGATCCCTGCCCAGCACTTAGGTCAACATGCTGATCTGGAACAGTATGACTTCTAAGATTTTGCTGTATATCCACCATAACTTCAAGCAGCCTAGCCATGACTGCATCTGTCCCCTGTGGTGGTGGTGGAGGTGGAGGCGGAGGTGGAGGCGGAGGAGGTAGAGGTGGTGGTCGTTCCTCATTCCTCGATCTACCCCTTCCCCTTCGAGCCATATTAGAACTGAAAGGTGTACGGCTACAAGCGTACGGACCTTTCTCCCCTCCTAAAGGAACAAGCCAGAGAAAGAAAAACCATATTAGTCCAGGTTAGTGGTAGAAGGGAAAGAGCATAAAAGTAATGTATTTAAGGTGCCAAGTAGGAAAAAGGAATCATAAACCTAAAACTGATACTGTAAATGTAACACTTGCCTTGAGTGTTATCCAAAAATCACATAATTCAAACAAACTAAGTGTGGTTAAGGAGTTGATCCTCTAACCAACTTAAGAAATAAATCATTTAAAACCTTAAAAATAATTATAGGTTCTACCTATAGCGCACGGAAGCAAGTTAGACGAAAATGGAATAAAAAGATGCTGTCATGACAGTAATTTATTGCTGTCATGACAGCCCTCCTGGGCCAACTTTCAGGAGGCGGTGTTCCGTCATTCGACCTCCGATTGAAGTGATTTTAAAGCTCACACGTCACATTCAAAGGGTACTATAAGTGTACCAAATTTCAAAAAGATCCAACGGTCGGATTAAAAATTAGACATGTTAAAAGATTGACTATTTTTGCTGTCATGACAGCTTTTAGCACTTCCGGACCAACTTCCGGAGTGCACCATTTCATCATCTGACCTCCGATCGGAGTGATTCCAAAGCCCACATGTCACTTTTAAAGAATACTATTAGCATACTAAATTTTGAAAAGATCCAACGGACGGATTGAATTTTGTGCAGGTTACAAAATCAACACTGTAGCTGTCATGACAGCAATTTAATGCTGTCATGACAGCACCTCCAGACCAAATTCCGGAGTGCGTCGTTTCTCCGTCCGATATCCGATCGACGTGATTCCAAAGCCCACACGAAGCTTATAAAAGGTTTTACTTGTGACCCAAATTTAGAGAAATCCAACGGTCGGATTAAGATTTGGACACCCGGATGCAAAAGTGCAGCTTTTTGGTAAAAACCATTTTCAAAATTGTCCAAATCCCATCCTAATGGTCACAAACCTGTGGAAACACTTTGGACACGTCAAATAAGATTAAAAACACTTGATAGAACATTCAAATGATGGAAAACCCCCATACATCAAAATTTGACCACCCGGGTGCCATTTCCCAAAATGGACCCTAAACCCCCAAAATACACAAATCATACAAGAGTGGTCACAAATCAATCCAAATACCATGTATTTATATAAATACATATGCTAAACATTTTCACTTGGCTCAGAGCTCCTTGTGGGGCCCACGCACCCCCTCTCTCTATCCAAGGTGTATGTTTGCCCATAGCACACCATTTGCAATGCAACCACTTTGCATTTGCTTATAAAATCACATATATAACAAAACAAAGATCTGCTTGTAATAGAAACTTGGTCTACTAAGTAAATCCATCAAAACCACACACCATAACCAAGTTTCCTAGCCACAAGTCTGCAAACAGACAAAAATTCATACACAAGCACACAATCCACACATATTCACACACACACACATAATCATATCCTACTGGCACCCTAATCTTAAATACATTACAATATATTTGCTCAAAAGAAAGGGGTTGCAGTTCTTTACAAATCACAAGCAAACCCCTAGCTTTGCTCTTTTCCCCGTCCACCACTGGATCCTTCGCCTGGACCTAGAATATTGAAAAGAAAGGGGTGAGACAACCACAGTCTCAGTAACAGTGAAATCTATATTGATTATTACAAAGTAAGCCATAATTAAATAAATGAATAATAAATTCAACATAGTATATAATTTAGCCATTTAAAATGCATGAATGCATGACCTAGGCCGGTATGGCCTTTCATGACCAACAGAATGCCCCCTGGCACTCTTTAACTCGCAGGTAAACCTTATACCTACTTGTACCTCCACAGGCACAAAACATAATCTAAGGCATGATCTAATCCACCGAACCGCCTATGCCCTTCGACGTGAATCCTGAGCAGTCAAAGCTAACTCCCTCCCAGAGCCAGCCCGACTTACTCTCCATGTGAGGGCTACCTTGGCCTAGGCACTCAACCTCACACTTCATATGTCGGATTCCCTCCCCCACTGAGAGGTGTCGAACACTCAATACACTAACCACTTTAGTGCACTGAGCCCACAATACGTAAGACAACACTGAGTACTGACAGTGTGCCATAGAATATCAAAAATCCACACCTTCTCATTGGTGAACTCCCACCGAGATCATGCCTTTTACTCTTGTCTACCTTTCCTGAGTATTGACCATTCAACACTCTAAAGTAGTATAATATTTATAAATCTCATTTCCAAAAAAATTGTTATTAAACAATTAGAAAACATATTTGCACTATAATCAAAGTAGTACCCCATAACCCCTTATAAAGCACATTTAATCTTTTAAAACATGTAATGCATGATAACTAGTAATATTTATTCAAAAATAGCTAAAACAAAGTAATAAGAAATATAAATTCCCCTGTTACCTCAACCCTTTGGTACTAAAAGAGTTCCCCTTGTACAAAATAGGGCTCGGCTTGTTCCTTACTTCTCAATAAGTTCCACCAACAATTTTCTATCGTGTAGCCGAGCTCGCAACGGTCGCAAAGACTCCTAGATCCAAGCCTAACTCCCTCCCTTTCTCTTCTCTTCTTCCTCTCTCTCTCTCTCCCGTTTGTGCGTTTGCTTCCTTTCTCATTTTCTCTGCGTTTCTGCATCAGTTTGCTCCTTAAAATGCTGGTCAAAAACTTTGGGGAAAATTACAAGAAAGGGCCCAACATTTTTTTATTATTGCACAAAAGCCCGGGTCAACTTTGGTAATTTTTCCCATAGTTAAAAATCAAATAAAACCAAACTTTTGCTTAGTAAAATTCGAACTCTGGGCCTCTATTAAATTATTCTAAATTTTAATTTAATTATAGATATTTTATTTTATTTTTGTTTATTTTTTTTAAATAAATTTGAGTCTTAAAATTTTTAGGATGTTACACTGTACTACCAAGATGTACCAAGATATGAGGAAGTATTGGTGGTGGTATGGTATAAAGCGTGATGTGACCGATTATGTGTCAAAGTGCTTAACTTGTCAGAAAGTCAAAATTGAACATCAGAAACCACATGGTATGTTATAATCGTTAGAAATTCTAAAATGAAAGTGGGATAGCATTGCGATGGATTTCATCATGGGTTTACCCCATACTCAAGCAGGCTATGATGCTATTTAGGTCATTGTGGATAGATTGACCAAGTCAGCCCACTTTCTGGCTATTAGAGTGGATTATCCTATAGAGAAGCTTGTCGAGGTGTACTTACAAGAAATAGTGAGATTGCACGAAGTCTCAAAGGATATAGTATCAAATCATAATCTAAGGTTCACGTCGAACTTTTGGAAAGCTTTAAATCAAGCTATGGGGACAAAGTTGAAATTTAGTACTGCTTACCATCCCCAGACGGATGGTCAAACCGAGAGAACGAATCAAACACTAGAGGATATGCTCAAAGCTTGTGCTATTGAGTAGACTAGTAGCTAGGATAAACACTTACCATTAACAAAATTTGCTTATAACAATAGTTTTCACTCGAGCATCCAAATGGCCCCTTACGAAGCTTATATGGGAGAAAGTGTCAATCACCTCTTTGTTAGACCGAGTTGAATGAGAGGAGCATTTTGAGTCCTAATTTGGTAGATCAAACTACTCAAAAAGTAGAAGTGATTCACCAAAAGCTTTTAACGACTCAGAGTCAATAGAAAAGTTATGCTAACAAATGGAGAAAACCGTCAGAATTTAAGATAGGCAACCATGTTTTCTTGAAGGTTACACTAATGACAAGCATTGAGAGATCAATTTGAGCCATGAAGTTGACTCCATGTTTCATTAGTCCCTTTGAAATCCTTGAGCGAATTGGGATACTTGCTTACTAGATTGCGTTGCCGCCTCATCTCATAGGCGTGCACCACGTGTTTTATGTCTCCTAATTAAAGCAGTATCAGCCCAACCCGTCTCACATAATTGAACATGAAGATGTTGAGTTATGGGAGAACTTGACTTATCGAACCAAGCCTGAGAGAATACATGTGTAAAAGAGAAGCAGTTGAGGAATAAGATCATTTGTCTAGTTAAAGTAATATGGAAAGGAATGACCCTCGGAGATGCTACATAGGAGACTGAGGAGAGAATGAGACAACTATGCCCTTATTTGTTCCTTGGAAGTATGTTTTGAGCTATTATATGAATTTTGGAGACAAAATTCCTAAAAGGAGGGGAGAATTGTAACATCCCAAATTTAAATCCAGATTAATTAAGCTTAATAGATTAGTAAAGTGAATCTTTGAGGTGTGTGGCCAGAGAGGCCTAACAGGCATGTTTGATCTTGGTTTTCAGTACCAAACGTGAGTCTAAAGGAGAATCGGATCACCAGGGGATAGAAAAGGAAGAATTTTAGAAGGGAGTGGTTCTGTACTACGTGCCGCGGCATGGGTTTAGTCTGCCACGATGCATGCATGCCAACATGCCTAGAAGAAGCCCTTTGTGCCATGTGCCATAGCATATTGTGCGTCTGCCACAGCAAATAGCTAGAATTTTGTAGTATTAAGTCACGAATCTGAAGTGAAAATGAAGAGAAAACAAAAGAGAATGAAAGAGTGGCGAAAAAGCTGAGCTAGGGTTTGAAGAAAACTAATTGTTGGGAGTAATTTAAAGCCTATAAACACCCAAGGTAAGCTTTCTAACTTAAATCTTTTGCTCTTCTTCTATTTTCTTGATGGTAGAGATTAAGGTTTGATTTCTAATGGTGATTTTCGATCCATAAAGGTTATGGGTCCAAACCCATTGACTTAAATAGAGTTAATGGGGGTAGATTGAGTTAAGTAAATTTGATATTTATGATTTTATAATGATTGGTAATTTCCATAAATTTGGTAGTTGGGAATAATGTGGCTTCATTAATGCCCATTTAAGAGCTTAATGTTATAAATGAAAGTTAAAAGAAGCTCAGAAACCTTATGGGTACTTCTACATTATTTTAGAGTAAAGCTTGAGTATTAAGAAATGATGAAAATGCTAGTGAACAATAGCTCAAAATAGATATTGATGTTTTGCATGGTAAATGCTTGTAGTGTAATTACCATTGGCACCATTCAAGCTTCTTGGAAGCTTTGAGAGCGAATAGTTGAGGGGTGAAACCTATGACCTCTCAAAGGTTTGAAATAACCTAAGAAATTCTATCTTATACTTTTGTGTCTATTAGTTTATTGAAATGTATAAACTAGAGAAAATACAAGTGTAGCTTAATTTGTGAAGAAATTCACTAGATCAAATTTGTAAGTTTTATGCCTTGTAATGTAAAAATTTCCTCGAGAACAATAGTAGTGGATTTTCATATTAATGTTTATTGGGAGCTTAATGATTTTGCAAATTAAGAAGTAACATGAATCTTTATTTAAGAGAAATTCAATGATGTTTTAAAATAGTGGAGTTCAATGATTTTAAAAGTGTGAAGTACAATGATTGTGGTTTGGGAGATCAACGACTTGTTTGGTTTTGAAGTTTCATGAAATGTGTTTGAGAAGTTCAATGATTGTGCAATGATGAAGTTCAATGATTTTAAAAGTGTGAGGTGCAATGATTGTGATTTGGGAGTTCAATGACTTGTTAGGTTTTAAAGTTCCATGAAATGTATTTGAGAAGTCTAATGATTGTGTAATGTGTAGTTCTATGAATTGTATATGTGTGAGTTATGGCATGAATATCCATTTCATGATCTTAAGAGGCGGGAGTTTGCCTAAGAAGCAGAGTAGATGAGAAATTCAAGTGATAAGGCCCCATCTGTGTGATGGATTGCTAAGATTAATTCTATCCTTATTGTTCTACTGGTTCAATGAGGAAGCTAGTTTAGGGTGTATGATACCTCAAAATGAGAAATGTGGGAAACCATGATCCATAAGTGAGTTGGGTATGCCTTGGCCAAGTAATCCCCTCACAAGTGTTTAGGTTAGGGAAGTCAAGGAATATAGACTATCTCATTAAGTTATAGTCGACAGTTTTGTATCAGACTAATAAGGAGGATATAAGAGAGGTGTGATCAAGCATATAGTGAGTAAAGGCACTTTTTGTCTCTATTGAGTCCATAATGATGGCATTTGAGTTGAGTATTAATTTCTGTTATTATGCTTGTCAATAATTTGCTTGATCAATTCTATCTCTATGAAAAGTGCTAAAAGCAATACTTTTTAAGTAGTTGCTATTATGTGAGCTGAACTGTGAATATTAAGTTTTCAAATGTCTCACGTGGATTAGAGTATTAATATTAATTGCCACATGCATTTAAACTAATTGTTATGCATTAGTATGGGCTAGTTGGACCTTGGTTACTGAGTAGTTCTATTCACCCTGTTATCTTCAATGTTTCAGGGAATAGCTCAAGAAGTGTGGATAGAGAAAAACAACCTGAGGCTTAAGATCACGATCATTTTACAGTAGGCCTCTTTATTTTGGGTAATTTATGTGTATGACAATTTTGATTGCCAATTAGGATGTCATTTTTTTTACTTACTTGCATTAAGAGAAAACTAAATTTATAATGGCATTTTGCGTCCTAAGGAGAGAGTTGATTATTATATGTTATGTTGATAGGGCCAAAATACTAATGCAAGTGAGGGTAGTGCATATTATGTGATGATTTATGAAATCTTGATGAAAATTGTGATAAACTCCCCCTTCCTATGATTCTGAGTTAAGGGATTGAGTGGTGGAAATTTAATCTGGAAATGTTTCTTGTGTTTTGGTGCTTTGCACGAGTTAATTTTGGTGAGTTATATGTGGTCATTTGGTGTCGGCGGACATTGGTCCTTAATTTTGGGTTAGGACACTTAAAATTTGTGAAAGTGAAGGTAAAGGAGTAAGTTTTGAAAAGGGTGTCCGATTCTTGTTTTAAAAATAATTTGAGCCTAAGACTAATGCCATTAGTTAGAGCTCAGAAAGAGCTTTCCGTAGACTCCTAGTTCACATCATTCGGAGATTTGGGGCATATCGAAAGTTGGCCCTAAAATTGTCAAATTGACAGCAGAACTCATAATAAAAGTTCATGCATTTGCACCGCGGCACATGGTATCACGAGCCGTGGCTCCTGTCATAGAGGCAAACACGCCACAGCGCATGTTCAACAAGCTACGGCACATGCCTTTTAATTTTTCAAAAAATTTTCTTGTTCCAGATTGTTGTACCTATGTAACCACTTATGCAATAATCCCTTGCTTCCTTGTATTTACAAACTTTGTTTTGCCTCTTTGCAAGACTTGATTTGACTTGAAATTTATAATCTTGTGGTCCCTATTTTGTCAACCCATGAGAATTTTGTATTTAATGATTACTATCGTCTCATTTTCTTAATTACATGAGATTTAGGTTTTAATTGTGGGCTAAAAGGAGGAGGATATTACATTTATCCTTAAACAATTTGCTTCCACTACCTCAAGTCACACATGCAACATGTCAACCTGCACAAATTAGCACTATAAGTCAATTACTAAATTGACAACAAGTACTAATTATCATTATTATCCACAATTAACCATTTACTTCCTTTCGCTTAACTATCTTAGGTATTAATCATTCTTCCTAACCCTTCTATATTAATCATTCTTCCTAACCCTTCAATCACTTTTATTAACCTTAATACAAACCATGCCAGTATTCTCACCCTTAACGCTTCACAATTTAAGGCTAAATCAAGCTTATAGCCCCAAAGCTTAGCCGTTAATTCCTAAACTAGTCACAAATC